CTGGCTTCTGACCGTACTTATCTCAAAGTTCTCAGCATCCCTGGTCTGTGTGTAATGAATTAAGTAGCTGACTAATTCTAAATGTTCCCCCAAGCAGCTGCCCTTAAAATGCAAATTCAAAGGGGCTGAAACATAACAGCAAATGCATTCTTTGGAGTAGCTCTAGGGATACAGGGAATCTCCTATTTGTGTCTTTGTTCCATCACTCAAGCATCCTTCGAATTCTAAAATCTCCTGCTATGTCAGTGTACCCCCGCCAACACCAGGGCCTAACATATTAAAGACACCCAGATATGACAATTGCTGGCAATGATGCCTGGGGTCCCATGCAGTGCCCATGGTTTTTTTTTAGCCTAGCCTTTCTCCCAAAAAATGGTACCCAAAATGGGATATTCCATAGAAGGCTTCACTGAAACAGCCACAACACTTCAAGTGGCTCTCTAACTCTAGTAATCCTTAACTGCTGTTGCATAACTTGCCCAGCAATGTATGCTGAAAGATCAAGAAGCTCCTTGGCATTATAGGAAGTTCTGGTGTCTTTCTCATTATGTTTCTTTATTTAGCTATGACAACTTTTCCTTAATCAGATGAGTAAGGGTGTTGGGGTTGGGTACTTGATGTTTCAGTCCCTGTCCACCCACTAAGGTGCCATTTGATTCTTAGTTATTCTTTTCTCCCCTTCTGTTCTAATTATTTTATTTATTCACTTTTTATGCCCCACCTTTCTCCCTAGTGGGGACCCAAGTTGGCTTACGTTGTTCTGTTAGCCAAATTGCCTTAATTTCTTATTAATATTGGGAAAGTTATAATTATTAATTGGCAATAGGCAAATTAAGGAGCGAACACCGTTGTATACAGAGGTCCCACATTTCCAGTAGTTACCAGTAACAGACACGGAGACTGTATTCAGTAAAATATGGTGTCTTTTACTATAAGATATTTATCATTCAAACAATACACAAGCGTGCACACACTTACGCAGTACTAGGAAATAAAGATAGATAATAAGCATATTCGCATTAGCAGGATATTCGTTGTTTGGGCAATAGTTACCTGTCCTTGCTGAGTCATTCCAATGGAAGAAGGGAGGTGGAAGAATCAGATATAAGGGACGTGTTCTGAAACGGCAGAAACACGTGGAACTCTGGCTGCAGACCAAGAGTCAAAGATGGAGGGAGGGTATTGGGATAGCAAGCTGGACGTAAGGGGGATAAAGCTTAGATGGGGTCATAGTAGAGAGAGAGACCATGTGGTCGGGTACCACCTTTTATAAGGTGGCGTGGGGGGGGGCAGGCTGGACTGGCCACATCCTCTTGTCCCACCTCCTGTTAGTCCGTCCCACCTCCTGTTAGTCCATCCCATAAAACATACTATTGGGTAGAAGGAAAGGGGGAGGAGAGCTAGGGGGTGGTCAATATTGAGAGCTAGTAACTTAATCTGGGGACTGGCCCTGGATGAAGAGATAAATGAATAATCGGGCTAGGGCTATTGTCTTTTGATGGCCCTAGTCGGGTCTTTGATGGGTGATCGATTAGTTGCCAAGCAACTGCAGGGAGAACCTCTTGATTACGTGCAGATTTGTAGGTAGCTGGAGGAGGGGGAAAGGGATTGCCTGCGTGTATTAGATGGAGCTCCTAATGGCGTTTGGAGCTCTTTGTTCTCATGCCTGAGCATGGCATGGCGTTATGCAGGCTAAGGAACTGGTCCATCTCACCACAGGTAAGAGGGCAAGTAACCTTGAAGAACCACTGGAACAGCAACGCAAAGGAAGGTTTTTCTTCTCTCAGGTGTGCAGTCTCAACTGGCATCATATTGGGTCACCTTGCAGTACAGTCCCTTAAGCATATCTTTGCACAGTCCATTTTTATCACTTATGAGTTATAGTCCATAGAGCACATTAAGTGCCTTGCAGGGCAACAGTTCTCCTCCACTCCATTTTATCCTCACAGCATCCCTGTGAGGTAGGTTAGGCTGAGAGAGTTTGACTGGCCCATGGTCACTCAGCAAGCTTCCAAGGCAAAGTAGGGATTTGAACCTGGGTCTTCTAGATCCTAGTCTGACACTCTAACCACTATACCACACTCATCCTAATATATAATCTTCCATTATACTACAACCATCTCTCTGCTTCCCCTGAACCAGAGTGGCAATTAACACATCTCTCCCTCTCCTCTTTTACAACCATCACAATAATGGTTATGTAAGAAATAGGATGAGTTATCCTGTGAGTGAGACACTTGAGGGGGATATGTCAAATTCTCCTGAATCCCATCATCATCCAGCCTCACCCTTTGTCCTATATAGGCCTGAATCAGGAGGCCACCAAGGTGCTCTCAGCACCATTGTAGCAGTTGTTCCTCTCTGAATTCAACACATTGGGAGCATTTAAGAGGTGGGCGAGAAGACTGATATGGTGTCTTGTAAGGCTTCTTGCTCCCAATACTCTGCAGTGAATCCACTCAATCCAGAGCCATCTGCCAGTGACGCCACAGAAGAGCCACTGGCCTGCTTCTAAGCCTGCTTGATGCCCATCTTCCTTTGGCAAGCCCATATGAGGCGGTTGGGGCTGGCAATGGCACAAATCCTCCCCACCACTACCACCTCTGCTGTTGCACACAGTGCAGCCCCTCCTCCCACCCAGAATGGGGAAGAGCATTTTCAAAGAACTAAGGTCCCGGTCACACGGGCCGGAAAATGCAGGGGGGAAGCGTGGCTGTTTGCCCCGGAGCAAAGTAACGTGCGGCAGCCCGATCACATGTCCCGTAGAGGTCCCGTGGGTATGCTGTTAGGTGCCGATCACACGGCTATCCTGCAGCGCGGCAAAGAAGTGGCGTGGCACGATCACACTGGCAATCGCTAGGCGCCACTTCCGTGGCAAACGGGATTTTTTTCCCCTCACCACAGTGTGTGCATGTGCCGGTGGGCATTTGTGCGCATCCTGTGAAGACTTAAAAAAAACAACACATCCAGTTTGCGAGGGGACATGGGTGGGCGCCGGAAGCCACGGGATTCCAGCAGAAATGCAATCAGACGCCCGCCCTTGCTCCGCGTTTTCCGGAAACTAGCACATCGTATGTACTATTTTTTTACTCTGTATCTTCAGCAAGAAGGCCACGGGTTAGCCACGGGTGCACTACGCTTCCCAGATGTTGTGGTGTGATCGCGCCCGGAAAATCCACCTATCATCCGTATCTTTAGCGTGGCAAATGCTCCGTGTGAACGGGGCCTAATTTCCTTTTTCTTGCATAGCGGTAGCGATCAAAGAAAACTAATGAAGGGGGGATCCTGCAGACATCTAAATGTAAGCAGGAGAGATGTGTAGCAAAAATTAAAGGGAAATGGGAGCCAGTGCTGAGGTGGAAGAGTCACATGGTCAAAGTGATTAATGCAGCAAATAAGCTGAGCAGCTAAATTCAAGACAAAGGCAAATGATAAGAACAAAGACTAAAGAAGGATCATAGAATCACAGAGTTGGAAGAGGCCATACAGACCATCTGGCCCCCAGAACATCACCTATAAAATACAGTGGCCCCAAAGATCAATGAAGTTGGAACCGATACACTGGAGAACAAAACAACGGAGATATGGACCTATGCTTGGGTGGTTGCAGTCCTGCATACCACAAGGATCACCTTCTCCCATACAAATCTACACATGCTCTCAGGTCAGCACCGATGGAACTGTTCCACATCCCAGTGGTACCTCGCCTACTTTGTCTTCAGTTACAGGCAATTTGCAATGGATGTTTATTTCATCAAGGTTGCAGTTTTGACAGAAGCAATCCCCAGCCTCTTACTGTTGATTGTAAAGTATGTAAATAGCATGTGAGTAAGCAAAAAGGAAGTGATGAAACAACAGCAAAAAAGAAGAAGCAAGGATTGTTTGCTTGTCAGCATCACAACAAGTTTGCAGATGCCACAAAAATTGTTCATTGTCCCAAAGAGATTTGTTTGAAGTGAGGGAGCTGCTGTGTAGACAATGCAGCTGCTTGTCTGGCTGGGCAGTGTGGTGCTCCTCTTACCAGGTGAGATTATTTTAAATGCCTTCGATTTTAATAAAAAACCAGTTTGCGTCAGAATCTGATTCATTAGATACTTTCAGTTTGCACCCAGAAATCAGTGCAGGGCCATAAATTTATGCTAATTATTACATCATATGTCAGAAACTTGGTGAATGGTTAACAGAAAGTTAGAAAATGTTAAATTGCTATGGAAATGTTAGAAAATTCTGTTTACTAGGAAATCTCAAGGCCAATGGTGTGTCTTTAGTAAATAACCAAATTTTCTCCTTAACATCATAATCGAAAATTTGCCATGGCCTGACCATAAATAGCAAAGTATTTCTGTGAAATAAACATATCTGACACATACCAGTAATCTAAGTAACTCACAGGTGTTAAGTGTGTTCCATTGCAATTATGAATATCATCTTCTGGCAGATAATGGGAATTAGGATAAAATTTGGCCATTTATGTGGACTGGCAAATACCATAAATGCCACTGAAGGTGATTATCCATAATGTGAGAAATCTTTAAGCTATTGTGGTGCATTACTAGCAGCATGTCAGGCATGCAAACCATTTCACTTTCATAGTGATGTTTACCCCAGCTCTGTAAATTTTTGCTAGGTCTGCATAACTGATATACAGTAACGGTGTCTTGGCTTATAGATTTGTAGTAGAGGTTAAATTTTACCTACTGTATGCTCACCTCATGATGGTTCACAACTTTAACTATTCTGTATGTTCTTCCCATGTGCATTATAAAAATCTTCCTGATGATGTATGTGGGACATTGTACATTCCAGTCCCCAATGCAATTTGAGGCATTGTTTGTGCTAACAGTAGATGAGGTGATGGATGTCCTGTTCCTGACCTGCCCTACTTTAGGTTGCAGGTAGGACTTTCCATGGCTGAATGCTCTGTCAGATGAAAAAAAATGCTCTGCCTTAGATGTCAGGAAGCAAGATTGTAATTTACCAAGTTTCATTTTATTTTTCAGAATCTAGCTCAGATCTGACTGATCCCAAGGCAGTAGAGGCAACTGTGGGTTCCTCAGTGTCTGTGGAATGCAGTTATGATCAAAGGTACCAACAGAATATTAAATATTGGTGCAGAAGAATTAGTGAAAGAAATTGCCCCCCAGGCATTAGCACGACGGGGTCAGAACGTCCAGTGATTAAAAATGGAGTCTCCATCCAGGACAACCATTCACTGAATCATTTCACAGTAACAATGGATGACCTGACCACCAGTCACAGTGGAATGTACAGCTGTGCAGTGAGTCAGCCAGGAGGACTTGATCTGATGACTCCTGTTAATGTGACAGGTAGGTCACTACTTGAGTTCTTGCTCTGATTTCACTTTAGCAAGCTGAACTGGATGAATGTTGAGAGGCTGGAGAGGACACGTTCTTCCCCATTTGGCTCATAGTTAATGAAGAGCATACAGAGTGCTGCAGAACAATCAAAATAATTAATCTTGGGAACGGAGAAGATACTGAGGAATATCCATAGCATCCCAGGTAGGATTGCCAGCTCTGGCTCGAAATATTCCTGGAGATCTGGGGGCAGTGCCTGGGGAAGGCTCTTTACATTCATTTAGATGGAAGAGCACCTATAGAGTTAGGTTACACATATCCATCATGAATAAAGAAAAATAAGGCAGTTTGGAGACATTGCTGGACACTAAGACAGTTTGGAGGCATTGTTGGCTGAGAAGTTCCTGTTGCTGTGCCTCTTTGGGAGTTCCCGTTGCTGTGCAGTCCTGATGAAGGGATTGAAAACTCATTGAATAATCTGGAGGATGAGTTGACTGCAGCTTATTCCTTATTGTTTGTCTCAAGTCCTAAGGACTGGAACTACTTCTGAGGTAAACAGTGCTTTCAGCCTTTTGAAGGCTTTTTGATATTCCTCTATCCAAATCAATTTACTCCTAGGCTTTTTACAATCTGGCCCTTTCCCTTTTCAACAAGACTGTTAGGGGCAAGGCCTCCTGGGCAGTTCAGGATGAACTGGCAATAGAAGTTGGTGAATCCTAGGAAAGCTTGTAATTGCCTCCTCGTCTGAGGTGGCTTCCATCCTAACACATCTTTAACTTTGCCAGGGTCCATCCCCAGGCCTTTTCCTGAAATTCTATAGCCTAGAAAGTCCAACACTTCCTTATGAAATTCACATTTTGACAGCCTCACAAACAGCTTGCTTTGATAGCCTTCAAGACATTTCTTACAAGCTGCACATGAGAGTTCTTCAGTATAGATCAGAGTGTCATCTAAATAAATAATCACCCCGCTTTAAATAAATACTTGTGCAACACTTCATTAGTTAAGTTCAAAAACACCCCAGGGGCCCCAGAGAGTCTAAAGGGAATCACCAAATACTCAAATTACTCCAGTGGGGTATTAAAGGCAGTCTTATATTTGTCCCCCACCTGGGATGTGCATCCGAAAGTAAGCATCATGCAGGTCCAGCTTAATGAAAATGTGTCCTATTGCGGTCTCCGCCAACAAATCCTTGATTAAAGGAATGGGATAAGCATTCAACATTGAGATAGCAATCAGACCACGATAATCCATGCACAGTCTCAATCCCCCCCCCCCCCCGCCCTGGAATAACACAGAAGAGCACGGGAGCGGCAAAAGGGAAAGACACAGGATGGATGAACCCTCTAGCCAAGTTCTTGTCTATATATTTTCTCAGTTCCTCCCTTTCGGCAGTGCTCATGGAATACAGTTTTCCCTTAGGGAGCTTGTGGCCAGGGAGAATTTCAATAGCACATTAAGTCTTCCTTGGGGGGTTGGAAGCTTGTCAGCCTCCATCTCTTCAAACACTTTTGACAAGTCTCTGTACTCCAAAGGAATCTGGTTTGATCTTCCCTGGCCAGGCACATCCATTCAAGTGCCAGTAACAGCTCCCCCCCCCACACACACTCCCTGTTCCAGCCATGAGTCTGACATCAGGGGTCCACAAATTGGAGGGTCCCCAGGCTTCACTGGATATTATGGGTCTTGCATTCTGAGCCAGGATCCTCCCAACATCATGGGGAACTTGGCAGATGGATTTACTATGAAGGTCCTTGATTCCCAGTGGGAGCCCACCCCTATGGGCAGGTGGGTGGTACAGTGAACACAAGGCTTCCCATTCATGGGGGACCTGTCCATCTGAGAAAACACCAGGGGCTCCCTCAAGTCTCTTAATTCTGCCCCCATCCCTGCCACCAAGGCTGGGCTAATCATGTGTCTAGTGCATCCTGAATCTATGAGAGGCCAGACTCTGATGTGGGTTTGGAGGGGAGGGTTAACGACAGCCACTGTCACAAAGAACAAGGGGGAAGAGGGACTTACTGATTCTGGTGCAGGAGAAGCTCGGACCTGCTGTTTAGCGCCCTTCACAGCAGGTCCCGGCCGCTTCCTGCCAGCTGTTGAAGTTCTTCCTCACTCAATGAGATGCTCTCCAGTTCCTCTCCCCCTCCCGATTGGAGGGCATTCAGATGCTTGAAGCAACCCACTGATGGCTTGAGCTTCTTCTTTTCTCTCGCTTTGCCCTCCCCCGTCTTTTCTGGCCCTGGGCTGTGTTCATGAGGGCAATTGGCAGTGAAGTACCCGGAGGCCCTGCACTTCAGACACAAGCCTTGCCACATCCGGTGTTCCCAGTCTCTCCCTCTCCCCAGGGCCCGACTTCGCTGTGCCCAGATAGCCCGTTGCACTTTTGATGGCCTCAGGAGATTGCAATGATTCTCAGCCTTACATGCCACCTGAATCCAACTGCTGAGAGTGACTGGGTTCTCCTGGGTCAGAGCTTTGTCCAGAATGGGGTGGTTCAGGCTGGCCCGGTAGAACTCTACCAGCATTTCCTCTGGCCAGCCTTGCAGTTTAGCCACATAGGTCTTGAACTCATCCAAGAATGCTCTGACAGATCGGTTCCCTTGCTTCAACCCCCGAAGGCAGGTTCTGGCCTGCTCTATCTATCATACTGCTGGTGGAGGGCCCTCATGAATGTGTCCATATCTTGGAGTTCAGGGCCTCCTACGCTGTAAAGACCCACAAACCATCTGTTGAACGGTCTCATAGTTGGGACCCCAGGTAGTTCACTCGGTGCTCATCAGAGGCGAAGGTATCCCATTCTCTCAGGAATTTACACACCTGCAGCATGAAAAAGGCCAGCTTCCCCGGGGTCCCATCAAAAGTAGCTTCCAGCATATCCCGGGGTGTGTGTGCAGGAAATGGGTGTGGAGGGGAGCCACTGGCAGGGCCCCTTCATCCTGTGGAGCTGGAGCAGCTCCTTCCCCCCCCCCAAGCCCCGGAATGCCTGCTGCAGGACATGGCAAATGGCATTGGGGAGGCCCTCCAGGGCAGCACGGGTGTCTCTGTGCAGCTCTGCCATTTTGGTCTTCAGCTCCTGCTGGACAAGCTGTATGTCAGCTTCCTCTAGCTGATGCGTCATGGCCTTCAGGTGCTGAGGGTCATCGTGGAACACTCCTGAGACCTGGCACCAGTCCTCATATGCCCACCGCCACCAGGCTCCTGTCGCTCCAAGGGACGGGGTAGCCCAGTTTCGGGCATCCCACTGTCCCATCTCTGCCCATCGGCATTTTGGCTTCACATCAGGGCCCAGCAGTTCCCCTTCGGGTGGCACGGTGCCCTCCTTGCCAGTGGTTGACTTTGGGAAGGTCTCCATTTCAGTCTCCTCGCTTCCATCGCTCATCATGTCAGTGGTGCACCAGGTCAAGGGGAAAAGGCAGTTCTGACACTATGTCAAGTCCTGGACTCAATCACTCTCACGACACTCTTGTAGCAGCAAGATTTGTTTATCTGGAGGTAAACAGATTCCAAGCATAGTGGCAGAACTGGCCACAGTATGCCAAATCCGACCCTAAACAAAAAGCAGTATAGCCCCCCTATGCAAACCACCCAATCAATGTTCGCAATCAGCCTACTAAAGCTCTAGGCCTACCCTCAGGGCTGGCCCAACACCTGCAAACTAATAGTTACATTCCAAGGTCAAGTGAGAAGCTGAGATCATGCGCTTCCCAGGGTCTTGCATGCACTATGCAAGCTCAAACACACATTCATACCAGAATCCACTCCCCCCGCCCCCATCCTGGCAGAGAAGATAAATGGCATTGGTGATAAAAAAACAGTGAAAGAAGTATGTCTAAGAAAGGCGTTAACCCCAAACGCAACAGACTAGGAGTTTGTCTGGACAGCATTCTATGGCAAGCGAGGCCCGAGCTTGACACCGACTCATCTTGGTCTACTCACATAGAGCCACTCTTGAGGCAGATGCAGTGGTTGCTCATTTGTTTCTGGATTAGGTTCAAGATACTGGTTATATCCTTTAAAGCCCCTAATGGTCTGGGACTGGCCTCTCCCAATATAACACACACACACCCAGGCTGCTTGCACTCATAATCACACAATTTTTTGACAGTACCTGGTCCTTGGAAAGTGTGTCTTTGCTTCCATCACAGCCCCATCCTGGTGGAATGCTCTATCAGAGGAAACACATGCCCTGTGGGACCTGTCAATTGTTTTGGCAGGCCTTTAGCTAATGTTTTCAGCTGCAATTGGTTGCCAGAGGTTTTATCTTTTGAATATTTTCTAAGTACCGGGAGAATGTCACGATTTTAACCGTTTAACTGTTTTGATTATGATCCTTATGATATTGTTTTCTTTTTAAATGTTGTGAGCCACCTTGAGCCCTGTGTTGTGGGACAGGAGAGGGGTGGGATATAAATCCCTAAATAAATAAATAAATGTTGACAAGCTGGCGCTTGTGAGGAATCATAGGGAGGCTGATGGGGGGGGGGGACATTTCCCTCCTTAATATTGTATGATTTCTTAGGGACCTGAACAGACCCATTTCTCCCTCTCCCCTTTTTCTTTTTTACCTGATGTTCAACTGCTCCCAAAATTCAGTCCCTTCTGGAGCATTTTCAGTCCTTATTAGGTAATTTTTGGGAGACCCCCCTTTTTATTTGGTTAGTTTACAATGTCCTATTGTTCTACATACCTGGTGAGTCCCCCAAAGTTATTCCTACCTGCTCTGAAGATAAGCATTTTGTGGCTTCTGTTACCCGCACAGCAGCTGGCTGACTATTAAATATGACAGCTAAAAATTGCAAACGGGAAGGGGCACTGGGGTACTGATCTTTGTGTGTGACTGAGTCAAACGATCTTAAAAATAAGGAACATCTGTGGTATGAGGCAATGATGTGCTTGCAAAAGAGATGACCCTTTAACATAAGAAAATTTGGTCCTTCTGGATAAAATGGGAGAAAAACGAAAGACACCATCCAAAAGGTCATGCTTTTCAAGTGCCCTCTGGTTGCCAACCTCCAGGTGGGGCCTGGAAATCCCCCAGTATTACAACTGATCTCCAGACAATAGAGATCAGCTCCCCTGGAGAAAATGGCTGCTTTGGAGGGTGAACTCTGTGGCATTATGCCCTCCTGAGTTCCCTTCCCTTCTCAGGCTCCACCCCCAAATCTTCAAGAATTTCACAACCTGGAGTTGGCAACCCTAGTTGTGTTTGGTCTTCTCAGCATCTCTTCCCAAAGTAGCAAAAAGAGAAAAGAAAGGTCTCTCGGGCCTGCTTTGAGGCTGGAAATGAACGTGTGGCCAAACTTACCCAACTCTTTCATCCCCACCACCTTTGCAGCTTTTCCTTTTCAAGCCTGCCTCAGTGCCCAGCAGTTCCTGAAGGTGTCACATCTTAGGCATGCTTGTGGCATGCCCATAAGTTGTGGGACACCTTCCCTCTTGATTTCCAGGCTTCAATGCTTTCTTCACTGAGTTAATTATATTCTGACATTTAAAAGAATGTTTGCAATCTGCAGCTTTGTTAAGCACATCTATCTAGGCTGAAGCTATTAATTTGACCTTTACAGTAGTACTTCAGTTTCTTGTTTTTCTTTCCAGTTTTAGTGACAGACGTACCAGACAGCCGAGATCGTGGTGGCTTCTTTCAAAAGTAAGAGTCTCATTCCATCAGGTAGTCTATGGGCTTCCTTCTAATTTGTCTAATGTTAACCTATAAACAGAAGGAAAGAGGGGGGAAATCTACCTCTGCTGCTGTGTTGATGCATGTAGAATGTGTAGGCTTCAAGCATATAACTCAGGGGTGTCATACAGCCCATGGGCCGAAACCAACCCCTGCAGGGCTCCTATCTGGCCTGTGAGCAGCTGGCTCTCTCCTGCTTCCTTATCTGGGGCTGCTGCTGTGTCACAGCTTGCTTTGGCTGGCTCCCTCAATCACATGGGAGAGATAGAAAGGCAATCCTCAGAAAGGCAATGCTCTCTTCATGCATTGGCAGAGGCTCCTCCTCCTCCCTTGGGGAGGAAGGGAGGGGAAAGAGCGAGAGCTTGCTTTGCCAGGCTTCCTAAGTTGCACAGGATACAAAGGCAATCTACTCTTCCCTTCACTGGCTGAGGCTCTTCCCCCTTCTTCTCTCTTGGGGAGGGAAGGAACAAGTGAGAGCTTGCTTTGCCAGTCTCCCTCAGTTTCACAACATACAAAAGTAATCCTCTCTTCCCTGCATTGACTGAGGCTCCACCACCTCCTCCTCCCTTGGAGAGGAGGGGAGGGGGGAGGGAATGATACTCAGGATACAAGGCAATCCTTTCTTCCCTGCATTTGCTGAGGCTCTGCCTCCCCTCCCCTTGCTACCATGGGTGTGTGTGTGAAACAAAATTTGAGTCAAGTGGCAACCTTAAGACCAACGAAGTTTTATTCAAGGTATGAGCTTTCCTGTGCCTTGCTACTGTGTGTGTGCATGTGTGTGTGTTTTGGTGGGCTTGTTCTGCCGTGGCTCTCCTGGAAGCAACTGGGTCTGCCTCCCCCTCCCCTTGCTACTCTGTGTGTGTATGTGTGAAACGAAGTTTGAGTCCAGTAGCACCTTTAAGACCAACAAAGTTTTTTTTCAAGGGATGAACTTTTGTGTGCCTTGCTACAGCTACAGTGTGTATGTGTGTGTGTTTTGTTGGGCGAATTATGTCACAGCTCTCCTGGGTGCAACTGGGTTCACCTTCTCCTTGCCTCCTCTTTTTCACTGTATTCATGCCCTCATGATCCAGGCTTTCTAGTAGGAAAGCAATGTGAACTGTTTAGATGAGGAATAATAACAAGCCAGGGAGGTAGATTAGGCTGAGAATGTGTGTCCAGATCAAGTTCACCCAACACATTTCCTTTGTAGACTGGGGTTTTGAACCTAGGGTTCCCAGATATTAAGCTGATTCTAACCCCTATATATTGCTATATCTCTATTCTTGTACTGCCTCATAAGAGTTGTAGTTGTTTCTCTTGGGAGGACTATAGTTTTGTAGACAAACATATAGCCCTCACTCTGTGTCATAATGCCTTCACATGTTCTTGACCAGCACACAAAGTAACTTATAAAATCTCTCAATGCCCAGCCATTTCATGTTTTCCCCTGGGTCCTAGGCTCAGAGCTTTGACCATGAGATTTCTGTAATGAATGTCAATAAATCAAAAGTAGGTTTGCAGCTTACAGATACACACCTGAACAGCATACTCAAGATTGCTGCAGCACCAACATTGTCTTCAGATTTTGATGCAGTAATTCAGAGCAAAAGGTGTCAGTTATCAAAGTTTGTTAAACAAACAAAATATTGCAAGAGTACTAATGTTTAAAGCATATTTGTAATTTAAGAAAAATATATCTTTAATTGTGTTTGTATCCTTTATAAGCCCGACAAGGTCCCATTTATGTCAAATCCGGCTCTCATAACAAATGAGTTTGACACCCCTGATATAACTTGTTACAATATAAGGTATCTTGAAACTGGAAGAGACAAAGGTGACCTATAAAGGAGGGGGGGAAAGAATCGCCTTTCAAATCCAAAGTCCTTACTTTGTTCTGTTCCTTAGTGAGCCTTAAATGCAACCATATATCTGTCGCTTCAACTATAAGGGAAGAAACCTGAGAATTTGGGTGAATATACACATAAGGCAGTCTTATAATTGCCCAGCTGGACTTACCTTATTGACCTAATAAATCCTTGTAAAAGAAGGCTGATGTTTGTTAGTTTTGTTTTGTTTTGCAACTCAGATGATATTCTGTTTCTTCTACGCAGTTACCAGATTTATGTGACCTTCCTGGTTTTGATCTGCATGAAAATGCCCATCTTCCTGACTATGGTACTTGCAATTACATGGATGCACAGAAGAAACAGGCAGCATTCTGATGAGGTGACAACACCAGAGACACAATCTTGAGACCTAGATGTACCAGCACAATGGGAAAACATATCTTGTTCTGTTCTTCACTATCCTGTTATAGCCAGCCACGTCTCCTTGTGGGTGACAGGGAATGCAACTATATGGTAAAGAGGCAGACTTCCTTCTCTAGGACGATCATCAGTTACACAAAGAAAGCATCCAGTAACTGGTAGATGCTGTTGGGGAAATTGTACGCTTCATACTTATACCAGAAACTTATTATTGACATCGAGCAGGCCAGATTTAGGCATGGCTGCTCTATGCTGGATCAATGTGCAATTTTCTATCACCTGGAGAAAAAATATATGACCTTATGTGGTTCCCTGTGTGTTGCCTTCACATTGACTTACGGGCAATTTTTGACTCCATACCAAGAAATCAGCTATGGACCAAACTGAGAACCACTTCTATTGATCATAGATTGCTATGGTTAATTGAAAGACTATATGAGTCCTCATATGCATGGGTACATTGTAGTAATCTTGGCTATTTGTCAAAACCATTCCCTCTGCAGAGAGGTGTCCAACAGGGATGTGTTTTGGCTCCCTTACTGTTTAATCTATACATGAATGACTTGTATGTAAAGTTAAAATCATCTGATCATTATTCTCCTACAGTAGCTAATGTTGAAATCACTGCATCGTTATATGCTGATGATACTGTTCTTCTTTTGCATTCTCCTGTTGGCCTTCGGCAACTGCTGAAATCTGTTTCTCATTATTGTACTGAGGGGAACCACAATGTCTAAGGTTATGATTTTGACTAAACAACACCAACTTCCAATTTATAACTGGGAAATTAATGGGCAAAAGCTAGAGCAAGTGAAACAATTTCGATATTTGGGAATACTCTTTCAATATAACCTGTCATGGAAACAACACATAGAGGAGGCCCAACAGCTAGCTACTCTAACAACCAATGTAATAATCCTTTTTTTTTAGCTCTAGAGGAGATCGATATATACCGGCAGCACTCCTTCGAGGAACCACAGGAGCCCCGTGCTGTGTGGCAGGAACCCTTTTCAGAGCTGAATTAAGGTGTGCACTCCCTAGAAGCAAGGGCCTGGGTCGCTGCTTTTGGATTTTGGCTCAAGTTAACCTTTGCTTCTTTGGGAAGGGGCAGGCTCATTTTACTGAGGATGAACGCCTTTAAAACAACTTGGAAGAAATTGGCAGCCTCTTCATTTGGATTGCCTTGGGATTTCCCCTAATGTTATCAATAGCCTTAGCTTGACCTCTATTAGAAAGTTGATTTTGAGACATCTGTATGCCTTAGATGAGTCTAGTGCTAGATTCAGGGCCCATAGAGTTTGCTCTCCCCTTTATTTGGGATTGGCATACTCAAAATTTAGCCTAGCTTATCTCGATTATCTGACAGTTCCTAAATAAAGACAAGCCTTTATGTTGGACTGACTTAACTCAATTCCAATGGCAGAAGTCTCACTTTGAGAGGATTCCATTAGCTGAAATAATTCTGTAGCTGTGAAAGAGGGACTCTTCACACTGTTACACTGCTTATTGGACTGTCCAAAATTTATTAGGTATAGAACCATGTTTGTTTCTCCCTTCCTAAAAGACCTGGCCAGTTCCTCAGCCCACTGTAAGCTACAGACTCTCTTGGCTGTAAATGATCATGATACTACTCTGGCTATTGCTAAGTTGAGAGCCAGTTTGGTGTAGTGGTTAAGTGTGCGGACTCTAATCTGGGAGAACCGGGTTTGATTCCCCACTCCTCCACTTGCACCTGCTGATGTGACCTTGGGTCAGTTACAAGCTCTGGCACAGCTGTCCTTGAAAAAGAGCAGTTTGTGTCAGAGTTCTCTCAGCCCCACCCACCTCACAGGGTGCCTGTTGTGGGGAGGGGAAGGGAAAGGAGTTTGTAAGCCGCTCTGAGACTCCAAGTGAAGGGCGGGGTATAAATTCTTCTTCTTCTTCTAAGTTCTTTTTTTTAACAGTTCTTTTATTAACTTACAATTATATAGACAGATAACAGGAGACACAAGACATAACAAAACATAAACATACAACATATCACATAAAACATAAAACATATCACATTTAAACAGATCCTTTCTTCTTTCCCTCTTTAGGCATACCTACATAAAAACTTATTTGAGAATTTTTTCTCTGCTTAAGTATTCATTTCAATCCAATTATACACTTTCAACCATATTCTCTGGTCAACCTATATATTCTCCAGAGCTTGTACAGCCAAATGTTCCCAATGAAATGTTTCTTAAGTTAAAAGCATTTGGCTGTACAAGCTCAGGAGAATATATAGGTTGACCAGAGAGAAGTACTACTGGACATGTGATTGCACTGGAGGCTGTATTTGTATTTTTGTATTTCTCTTCTTTGCCCAGTGGTTAAACTTTGGAACAATTGTTTTCTGGTCTCTATTGCACATTCTGTATATGTATGATTGTATATATTTTTACATATCAGCCAATATTTTCTATTTGTATTAGACCTCTGAGGAAGGCCTGTAAAGGCCAAAACGCGTTAGGTGTATTTCATCAGCCTTTGTATATTTTTATATTTGTATATGAGGTATGAATGGGCCCTTATTCGTTATTTTAATTTGTGTTTAATAAATACATGTATATTTTTTAGGTTTCATAATTAGATTTTAAGAGTTGGCCCTCTTCTATTCTTGATTAACCTTTATAGGTTCTGAATTCTAGGTTTTAGGTTCAGTCCCCCCCCCCTTTTTTTTTCCATACATATCACTTCAGGGACAGGCCATTAATGGAAGGTAATTCACTGTGTGAAAGACCCATCCCTGTATCACTGTACTCAGAACTGGTCCAATGATGGATAACATCCGGAATATAAAAGTAACGTGAAAAGGGCCTTAGTGAAAAAGAAGAGAGTCTTAAGTACGTAAAACAAATCTGACTGGCAATACTGTTTTTTTACAGGAAACCCACATAAGCTCCAACAAACATTCAATTTTAAAACCAGTAATATTCCCACTACAATTTCAAGCCTCAGGCTCCTCTAAATCCCAAGGGCTCACAATTTTAATTGCCAAAGAGGCAAACTTTGTCCTTGAATTGAAGTTTGCTGACCCACTAGGACGTTTTCTATTTATCAAAGGAATGGCAGAAGGGAAGAAATGGACTTTTGCTACCTTGTATGCTGCAAATCAAATTTTAACAAATCTGCAAGCCTTCCAGGAAGGAGATTGTAACTGGAGGAGACATGAACTTTATTGCTGATAACAACCTGGACCACTCCTCTGCAAGATCTTTTTTTTTTTTTTTTTGAAAATCTATTTATTTAATTTTTCCACCAATTTTTCCACTGTTTAACAATATCAAATTCATTACTTTACATTCAATCAGAACTTGTAACATGTTTCTTTAACAGCATACATTTCCTTCTTCTTTTTTACATATGATATTCAATATAATTTCAGTTAAACAGTGCCTCGCGCTTAAAACTTTCCCTTATTCTTACTGTGCTAGTCTATCTTTCATCTGTCATAATCCTCTTTATTCCTAACCATTCATAAACAGGTTTCCATTTTTCCCAATATTTCCCTTCTGGTTTTTGTTGTAGCTCCATATTAACTCTATCCATTTCTGCTATTTCTAAGATCTTATTTTTTAATTCTTTTATTGAGGGTAGTATATTTGATTTCCATCTTTTTGCAATTAGTATTCTGGCCGCTGTTATTATATGTATAATTATGTGTTCCGATTTCTTAATATCATCCTCTGCAAGATCTGAGGGAACCCATTTTTGACCTCAGGAATGAAGCTGGTGAAACTCTTTGAGAATTTTCATCTTTGTAATACTTGGGGGATGCTACATCCATTGGAATGAGATTATTTGTATTACTCCGCCAGACACAACATCTTTACCCATATTGATTACTTATTAGTTTCTCATTCACTTAGATCCCAACTTCAGTCAGCAATCATTAGTCTCAGACTTCTAACTGATCATGTATGGCTAGACTGTCACCTACAATCTCCTTCAATTCTACACACAGGAAGACAGTGGTCTACGGACATATCTATTTTATTGCAAGAAACGATAAAGGAAAAGCTACAATCTGATATCAAGAACTTCTGACAATCCAACTTTTGAAAATATTCACTCCTATTTTGAAACAGTGTCTTCAGTTAAACATCTCTCATCAACCCACTCTGCTCTTCTGGACAGACCTATAACATTAGAGGAACTACAAGAGACCATCAAGCAAATGAAAAGAAATAAGGCACCAGGTATAGATGGTATTCTGTCAGAATTCTACAGAACCTTTCACTCTTCCCTGGCAGCACCCTTTCTCATGGTCTGTAATGAAGCTATTTGCTCTGGTGTCATCCCACCATCCTGGACAGAATAATCAATTGTGGTGATCCCAAAAAGGAACAGGAACCCAGCTGACCCCACCTCGTACCATCCAATAGCACTAATTAACAACAATGCAAAATTATTCTAGTCCATCCTGGCAAACCATCTTAAATCGATTATCCCAGACTACGTGGCCCCAGACCAAACAGGGTTTATACTGAACCGACAAATTGCAGAAACATAAGAAGCACCCTCAACATCATCATGTCTGGCAAACGTTCTTCAAAAGAACATTTGATATTGGTGCTGGATTTTGAGAAAGCGTTCGATTCTTTCGAAATCCCTTATCTGTTGATGCTACTACGAAGAATGGGGTTTGGGACAGCTATACACTCAATTTATTCTTAACCAAAGTCCAGAGTAAGGATTAATGGACACAACTCATCTTTCTTCCATCCTTCCACAGACACTAGACAGGGCTGTCCTCTGTCGCCTTCAATTTTTGACTTGGCGATTGAACCCCTTGCAGAAGAATCGCATTGGAATGATGGTTTCTCTGGGATAGACATTGGAAAGGTGAAACATAAAATGACTGTTTACGCAGATGACCTCACATTATACGTGTCAGATCCTCAGCAATCTCTGCCAGTCACCGAACAGATCATATCAAGATTTGGGGAAATCTCCAGTCTTTGCCTTAACCCACGGAAGTTTGACATTTTTTCCTATCACAGTTGCTAAGGCCACTAAATCAAACCTGCTGCAGAAGTTCCCATACAAATGGGTCATGACTTCCAGGAGAGATTTCGGGGTTCATATCCCTTTAGATGTTAACAAGCTAACGGAAAATAACTTTTATCGGTTACATAAAGAAATTCAGTCACCTTCGGGATTGGAATGTCCTTCATCTAACACTAGCTGACCGAATACATCTCATTAAGAGCTGCATCTTCCCCAACTTTCTCTTTCTATTTTGGGCACTCCCCATTCCTCTCTTAGAAGAGGATCGTCAAACCTGGCAGAACACCCTCACAAACTTTCTATGGGCCTCTAAAAAATCAAGAATCAATAGATGTGTTTTATCCAGACCTGCATCACTGGGAGGATTAGATTTACCACCTCTGCGTACTTACCACAAGGCCACTGTCCTATCTAATGCTATCAGCCTGATTAAAGAGTAAATAAAGGTTTTTTTAGGAATTAACGTACTTGATAGGAAAGAGGAGAGACAGATAGGCTCCTAACCAATGCTCCCTCTAAGCTGTGGAGTCTTATGAGCAAAAATTCTACTTCGTGAGCTACTGGCATTAAAGTTGTGAGCGAGCAATTTGGCTACTGCATAAATTAGTTTGCTCTGGAGTTATCCTTCCTGAGCTGAGACAAAAAAATGTGTGAGCCAGAGGCTAAAAAACTGTGAGCTAGCTCACACTAACTCAGCTTAGAGGGAACACTGCTCCTAACTACATCTCTAGCTGAGAAAGAGGGTAAGACCGAGTGTGGCACTTTCAAGAAGAAGGGGGAAATTGCCTTAAGAGAAGCAATCTGGAGACAGACAAGGGATGACATTAAACAGGAGAGAAGGTGCTTACCTCACTATCCTATCTGTCTTTTTGCTGCCCCCTGCAGGGTCTTCTTCTCTTCTTCTTTGTACACCAGACATTGTCTTTTCCAACACCCCTTTCTCAAGGTGTAGTGTACAAAGTTCTTGGTTGGGAAATACCTGGAACTTTTAGGGTTGCAGGCCGAGGTGGGTGGGGTTTGAGGAGGGGAACGACTTCAGTGGGGCATAATGCCATAGATTCCACCCTCTAAAGCAGTCATTTTCTCCAGGGAAATTGATCTCTGTTACCTGGAGATCAGGGTTTTTTTGTTTTTTTTTAAATATTTGTTGTTATTAATTTTTAACAGTGTAAACACAACAGAATTAGACACAAAGAGCAGTTACCGGCTCAATTAAACAGCTTTTCTCACATAACTCCCACAGTATCACAGTAAAGTCAAACATTTGCATAGCTTAAGTACCAAACAGTTAAAAGAACAACAGCTTCTTGTATAGTGGGTTTTTTGGAACTGTCTCACTATTTTCTAAATAACTAATAATAGGAAACCATACTGCCTGAAACCACTTTTGGTATTTCTCTGATTGCACG